CAGCATTTTATATTCAGTTTGCACTTACGTAAAGGATTGTGCAAGAAGTGAGAGAGAATGTAGCCTCTGGGAATTATGTGTATTTTTGGGTGCAATCTTTATTTGTGTAGCCAACACACAAGAATATAGAGAAGTTTTAACATGTTACAGTTGCTACCATCCCAAATAAATATAATTAGCCAAGCCCTTGCAGTTGCACATGCAAAACAGCGTATGTTTTGTGGTGGCAGATATATAGAAAATACGAGCCTGTGAGGAGTAATATAGTGCTTTTTTTCTTAGGCAATTAGAGACAATTCCTATTGCTTGTTCACCATATTCTCATAACAGATAAGAAACTCTCTAGGACAAGGAAGGATTAGGAAAGGGAGATTTAAAAATATTAAAATCTCAATAATATCATGAGACAATTGTTGAGGGAAAAAAAAAGCCTCTGGTGAATTTTGTCACTTTTCAGCTAAAACAGAGAAGTTGCCATTGTGGTGGTGGCGAGGGCAGCACACCTCCTTTAGCACTGTAGGGAGCTGTTTGAGCTGCATTTGCAATACAGGGCCATGTGTTCCTTCCTTGCCCCGCAGAGCCATAAACGCTGCGTATCCCTCTCCGCAGTCAGGATGTCCCAGAAGAGAGATTAACCCCACGAGTACAGGGGGCTGGAGGAAACAGAGGCGCCGCACGAGGACCTTCCCTCAGCATCTGGCACGTGTTGGCTTGGAAATCTTCGACAGAATTGAAAAACACCATTAATAGTTTTTATTTTCCTCCTCATTTCTCAGAGATGGCAACAACGTATAGGAAAGGGGCACCTGGGGTGACTTGAGGCACTTTGTGGCTCCTGTCCGCAGAAATGTAGTGCCAAGGAAGGAGAGCCCTTCAGCTCACGCAGGAGCCACGTCAGGCCACATGTGGCCTAAACCCTGCAGGACTGAGGGGTCTCGGAGACAGTCCTGGGCAGAGCAGCAAAGGCAATCCCAAAAGGCAGCCCGTGGCTGGCTTTCTCCCGGACTCTTCCCCCTCCTGAACCACATGCTAGCAAAGGGACACCATGGGTTTTCAATGCAGCACGGGCATGTCTGAGTGTGGGCCAGAGGCTGCTCTCCCCTAGCCTCATACTTGGAAACAGCTGGAGCTGCTCTGCTGAAACCTGAAAAAGTTCACAGCACAAGGCGGATCCCCTGGAATGGGCTTTTTTTTCCACCTGAATGGTTTAGATTTGGCAAAATCGTAATCAGATGAATATAAGGATGTAGGGTGGAAAACACTAAGCTGTAGTCAGCACTGCCTAGGGTAGTTCGTACATTGCCCACCTCTTTTTAGATCAAGATTTGTCCTGTTCTGCTACATTTAGTGAATATTTTGAAAACTGCCTGTAAAGGCTATTACATTTTTAACTCATTCAGCAAAGTGGGCTCCGTGGCGAGGAGGAGGAGGCCGTGCGAGGTGAATATCTAACAGATGAGCTATGTGGAAGCGGCAGGAGCGGCTGACATCACCCGCAGCACGCGGTGCCCCCGGCTGGCGCGGCCTGCCCTCCGGGCGCGAGGAAAATCAGCGAGGGGAGCTGCCTCCTCTTTCCTCCTTGGAAGGTGTTCAAGGCTGCGGCCTCACCTCTCTTTGGAAGAGCCTTGAAATATTTTCAGTGCTGGGAAGGGACGAGATGGCTGCGGCTGGATCCTGCCCTGCCGCTCTGGGAGGTGACGCTTGCTCGTGTCCCGCTCCTGCTGCTAAGAGGTGGACGTTGTCGGGTCGCTCACTCCTGCTGCAAGGCCAAGTGCAGCCGTTTCTGCTAGAAGCGACCCGAGCTGCCTTTGCTGCAACCCTCCTGACGCCCACGGTGCCAAGGAGGGAGCTGCTGAGGACGGGCCACCCTCGGTCCCAGAAACTGGAGTTTCTGGGAGCAGGAGCCAGGCAGGTGGTGGCTGCAGAGCCCGCGCGGGATAAGATCGCCCTGCCCGGAGACCCGCAGAGCTCCGAATCGCATCTCACCCCAAATCCCGCCCCTGTCATCAACCCCCCCCCCGGCCGGGGCGCTTAGCGCAGATGCCCGGGACCAAACGGGCAGATCCCGCCCGCGGAAGCGCCCGCGCGAAAATCCGATCCCCGGGTTTTTTTGTTATGGTTTTTGTTTGTTTGTTCTCTTGATTTCAGAGTTCTTCCTAGCTGACCGTCCCCTTCCCGCTGCTCGCCCGCGGCAGAGCCCGCCACCGCCCGCAGCAAGTGCGGCCCCTCTCTATATATACACATAATATACATATATATGTGTTTTTCCCCCTCCGACGCAGAATTCTTCCAAGGCCGGGGATCGCACGGGCAGGGGAGGGAGGACAGGGGGCCCGGGGCTATTAAAGCCAGTAATGAGATCTGCAGCCCGTCCCCCTGGGCCGGGCCGGGCGGGGTGCGCGGGTCCCCCCTCCAGCAACCCCCCCCCGCGCGAGAAACCTCGGTGGCCTTTAAGTGCGTTCCGGGAAAATTAATGGGGAGGGGGTTTTAGTCAGGAATGGAGTGTGTATACATATACACGTGTGTGTGTGTGTATATCTGTATTTTTTATATATATATATATATATATATATATATACATATTTCTCTCTCTTTCAAGCTTTTCTTTTTTTTCCCTTTTTTTTTTTTCAGGTAAAGGGAACCTACAGGAGAAACGAGAAATTAAAGCGCTGCCCAGTTCTTGCAGGGTCTGCAACACGTTGCTTTAAATGAGCGCTGCTCCGTAAATCCCGCCCCAAACTGCGCTCTCCGCTGCAATATCGGTAATAGGGTGTTTTATCTGAAGCTGCGCTATCTCCCTCACGACAGAAACTACAAACAGAATGCGCGTTCCAAGAAAGAAAAAGGAGAGAGAGAAAAGGGTCTTATTTAATCCAGAAAATAATTAAAATCTCATGTATTTTTATTGGTTTTAGTATCCAGCAGAGTGAAAATATTGAAACTCCGAGACCCCTTGCATTAAAAAGTCACAACTGTTCTATTTTATTAGTTCTGACTGTGTGAAAAAAATTATAAGGACAACATTGAAAAAATCCGGGTTTTAGAGCCCCGAATGGCCATAAAAACAATAAAATCAACTATAAAACCTGCACTAGTGATATTAAAAAATTATGTAGCTCAATAAATGTGACATTTCATGAATGCGGATTTAATAGTCTCTAACCCGGGGAAGGCGGAGGGTTGAGGGCGAACAATTGAATTTGGAAGGGGCGGTGCTGGAGAGCTGCAAAATTAAGTGCTTCATTTTTCTTGTTAGGGATTATGCAGTGGTAGTGGAATGTAATAACTGTGCCATTAAAACTTCCTTTTAACAAGGCCTATTGCTTGTATAAAAGTCAGAAAAGAATAATCTCTTCCTCTATTTATTTGTTTTCCAATAACACAGCAAAACATTTTTTTCTTTTTTTTCCTTTTGCTTAAATTTGTTCTCGGGATTTTGAATCGACAGCTTGTAAAGTACAGCGGGCTGGCCCTCCATGCTGCTGCCTCATATCATGCACGTCGTTATTCCAGAGGGCAATGGGTCATCAGTTTACTGTACATTTATTAAGTAAATCAAGCTGCAAATCCAACACTTCCAGATGAAAACATTAGCTAACCCCCTTGGAAGGAGCAATGCCTGGGAGACCGAGCACAGAGAGCAAAAATAATCAAAACTGTCAGCTCACTTTACGTGTACCTGATATTTACAAGACACAAGACCACGCTTTAAAGGTGAGTTTTGGCATTTCTAACATTATTTAAAAAAAAAAAAAGCTTCCCCATATTATTAAATATATATATTTCCATTTCACCAACACCCTTTCGTCTTGCTCTGAGCCTCTTACTTATTCACATCGCCGTAGAGTTGAACCGGAGACCTTTTTTTTTTTTTCGTTTCTTTTTTTTTTTCCTTTTTGTTTTAATTTTTTTTTTCACGCGGCACCTGCTGTTCCTTGACAGCTTCCCGGCTGTCCCGGCTCCGCGGCGGGACGCGCGGGACCTGCCGCCTCCGCTCGCCCGGGAGGTGCCGCCCGCTGCCGTCGGGGCGAGTCCGGGGCCGGCAGGTCCCGCGGGCCGGGGGTTCCTTGCCCGACAGCGCGGGGCGGCGGGGCGCAGCAAAGACACGGCGGGGGTTTAAGAATTAAACCGACGGTGCCCAGGTGGCGCTGCGCGAGGGAGCGCGGAGCGGCCCCGGCGCCTCCGCGCTCCCTCCCTCGTTCCCCGTCGAGACCGCGGCTCCTCCGCGCCGCACTCGCCCCATCCACGGGCAGGGACGGCGGCCGCCCTCGCCCTCCGCGCAGGGCGCAGCGCGGCCCTTTCGTCTGCCGGCGCGCAGCCGGAGCGGGCGCCGAGCAGGAACCCGCGCCTCTGCGCGCCCCTCCGTGAGCACCGCCAGGGGAGCGCGGAGCGGGGCAGTGCGGCCCCGCTGCCCGCGCGAGGGGTCCCCGCTCCGCGGCCGCGTTGCTGCGCAGCCACGCGGAGCGCGAAGCCTTTCCAGAGTCACGCGGAGCTCCGCGTGGAGGGTCCCTGCCCGCCTCTCCGCCCCGTCCCGCAGCGCCCCGCCAGCCGCGGCAAAGCGACCCGCGCGGTGGCCGCTCCGAGGGGCTCCGCAGGACCCCGCTCCGCGCCGCTCTGAGGCCCCGGCCGGTGCCGTCGAGGCCGCGCGGGCTGCGGCGGCGGGCGCGGGCCCCTCCGCGCGTGTTGATTGGCGCCGCGGGGAGCCCGGCGGGGGAGGCGCGCGGAGCGCTCCGCGCCGGGGGGTGGTTTCCCCCTCGCCTGGCCGGGCTCATTGGCCAGACGGCGCGGCGGCAGGAAGGGGCCAGAGACCACGCGGGCTCCGCCCCGCGCCGATAGAAACTTGCCGAAGGGCAACGGGGCGCGGAGAGAGCCGCGGCGGCGGTGCCAGCACGAGCGGCGGCGCGCGGGGCCGCTGTCGGGGGGCGGGCGCGGGGGGGGCGGGCCGGGGCGAGGTGCGGAGGGGGGGCGGGGGCCGGGGGGCGGGCGCGGGGGGCCGCGCCATGCAGTACCAGGCGGCGGGCGCGGCGCCCGCGGCGGCCCTGGGCGTCCCGCTGTACGCGCCCACGCCGCTGCTGCAGCCCGCGCACCCCACGCCCTTCTACATCGAGGACATCCTGGGCCGCGGCGCTGCCGCCGCCCCACCGCCCCACGCCCTGCCCGCCCCGCCGCCGCCACCGACGCTGCCGTCGCCCAACTCCTCCTTCACGAGCCTCGTGGCCCCGTACCGGACCCCCGTCTACGAGCCGACCCCCGTGCACGCGGCCTTCCCTCACCACCTCGCTGCCCCTTACGGCGCGGGCGCCTACGCCGGGCCCCTCTACTCCTTCCCGCGGACCGTCGGCGACTACGCGCACGCCTTGCTGCGGCAGGACCCGCTGGGTAAGACGAGAGCCGCCTGCCCGGCCCCGCTCCGGCCGTCGCGGGGCTGCGACGGCCTCCCCGTTGGGCCCTCCCGCTGCCGCCCCGGCTGATTTACAGTAAATTCAAGTGGCGCCCAGCGCTGGCAGCGCGACCACAGTGCGCGGCCGCGGTGACTCAGATTTGTTTTTTTCCCTCAACCGAGTGACTCTGCGCGTGTCCCCAGCCCCGGCGCGTGTGGTTTTGGTGGGGAGTTTGAATCGCGCTGGCAGATCGCGCTGCAGATCGCAGCCGCTTTCCTGCCGTCGCCGTGAGCGCCCGGGCGCGCTGCCGTGCGCGCCGCTCCGCGGCTCGCGCTCCGCGGGATTGCAAAAGTGGACCTGACTCACCACATTGGTGCAGTGAAAGAGGCTGACCCTTTCCGTTCATACAGGAAACCTTGAGCTCTCGATAGGAGTAAATCTGGTTTCAGAAGCTGTTAAGTGTTTTCCTGGCCGCCTGAAGCAGGCTCTTCCCCGGGAGTCGTGCACATTGCTGATTACTTTATCGACATCCTCAATACAGACAAATTCAGGAAACACTCGACTTCTGATAGCCAGGATCCGTTTTTCTGATATTGTTCATTTCCTCTGTGTGGGATGTGACTTTATGACAGCTAAAATAACCAGTTGCTTCCTATTTTTTTGAGTCTGTTTTGCACCAGAATTACTAAAGCCTGACGCAAGCAAAATCTTGAAAAACAATGCAGCGAATTTCAAAGGGTGCAGGCAGCAAGACGGCAAGACAAACAGTGTGACTCAGTGTCCCTGGCCAGAGAGAAGGAGAAGCGCGGGTCGGGGCGGCACCCGAGGTGCCACCGGCCTTTGGGGGTCCCAGCGGCGACACCCCGATGGGGGAGCTCGTGGGGGCTTCTTGCCTAGAGCCGAGGGTTTTGTCCCTTCTCGCTGGCACCTCCGACGGACCCGCCTTGAGCCACGCAGAGGCCCCAGTCTCCCGCGGTGCGGAGCAGGGGAAAAGTTTCTTTGGGGCACTATAGTGACAGAGCAGAAGGAAAGGACTTTTTTTTTCTCTCTCTCTCCTTTTTT